CAGTTTCTTAGCCTGATCCTAGATTTCTTTAGCTGTATCTAGGAACATAAAGTTCACACTAATTTTTGGTTCCATGCTATTCCACAACCATGTCATTATTTGTGCATCCTCCTGTTCCCAATCACTAAACCCTAGAGAATCAGAGGAGGGCTTCTCCTCTCACATGTTTTACCTTTTTCTTGGCTTTTAAAAACACCTCCACAGATTTTGCCCATGGCACATAGTTCTCACTATTCAACTTAATAGATGTCATTTGAACATTTAGGTAATCTGGAGAAATCATAACACCTATTTTATTGTCATTCCCATCTCCAGTTGATGCCATCTTAAATAATTCACTACTTCACAAAGAAGTCACTGTTATAGGCAGAGTATTCACCTTCAAATATTCAACACAGCTTCACGCACCACCACAAAACCCTAACTCACTTTCACCACCACCGACTTCTCCAAATACACATCACACACCTAATACAAGGGCTGAAATCACTCAGCCGTTAAATCAAACACCTGTACTGCACACTGCAAAACCACTCACACACCTAATACAAGAGCTGAAATCACTCAGCCATTAAATCAAACACCTGCACTGCACACTGCAGAACCAACCTGTACTTAGCTGAACACTGTTTACCCGAACCTGCTCTCTTCGTACCATCGAATAGAGAGCTACCTACCAATCACCACAAACAACCACTGCACCACACACTGGAGGCATGAAGGCCTCCTACAGAGAAAAACGATCACTCCTTTGCAGCCTTTCCCTTAATCTCCTAGTGGTTCTTGAGAAATCTGCGAAACCCTAGAGAAGAGGGCGATAGAAAAAAACTAGGTAAACCAGAAAAAAAAAAGAACAAGACGAGCAGATTTGAACTTGTTACATTTGCTCTGATACCATGTGAACACCTTATTCAGTCCTAGGTTATAGTAGAGAAGAAGAAGAGGAAGAAGAAGAAGAGAAGAAGAAGAAGGAGAAGAAGGAGAAGAAGAAGGGTTCGACCAGTAGAGGAAGATCTGTCCTTTCTAGTCGACCCACTTGTATTTATCTCCCATAAGCTTAGTTACAAGAAAGACCATATTGTCCCTCATAAGTGATGGGACACACAACTTAAACTTGAATAAAATAGACCTTTCACTCTCAAATAGATAAACCCAAATGACCAAAACATCCCTGTTCTGTGAACTCTAACAATTAATAAGGTAGGCAGTTGTTCAAACTGCATCACCCCAAAACTTCACAGGAACATGGGTAGCAAAAATGATGCTCCTTGCAACTTCCACAATATGTCTGTTTTTCCTCTTTGTTACTCCATTTTGTTGTGGAGTGCGGGCACAAGAACTCTGATGAACAATACCAAATTTCTCATGATAGGAAGTAAGGTCATTTTCAAAATATTCCTTAGCATTGTCCGATCGGAATATTTTGATGTGGGTGTTAAATTGAGTGAGTACGTGTTTATGGAATTGTTGCACAAGTTTAGGCACTTCAGCAAAAGAGTGCATAAGGTAAATCTAAGTATATCGTGAAAAATCATCAATAAACATGATGAAATATCTATAGCCACCCATACACGGTAAAATGGTAAGGCCCCCACATATAAGAGTGAACAATATTAAAAGGAACTGTCGATCTTTTATTACTTAAAGGATAAGTGTTCTTACAATGCTTTGAGAACTCATAGGACTCACAATGTAGACTCTATAGACTGATTCCTTTAAACAACTCTAGAAACAATTGACTTAATAAAGAAAAAGATAAAGGAACCAGCTGACTATGATAAAACATAATGCAACTAGTGGACTCTAAAACAAATGCAGTTCTCTTAGGTTGTACTTGTTTCTGCTCAGGCATGCCTAACAGATGGATCCCATTCGCCTTATGGTCACTCCTAATCACCTTCTGAGATTCCTTGTCCTTAAAAACACAATATGAAGGGTAAAAAGGTTACATTGCACTTCAAAGATTTAGTCAAATTACTAACCGAAAGCAAATTGGTATTAAGTTTAGGTACATGAAGAACAAATGATAATGTCAGGGCATTAGAGAGCCATCAACAAGGGATATCTTATTATGGCCAGAAAGGAATTGGTAAGAGGTGAATAACTTTAAAACATTGGTCATATGGTCAGAAGCACTAGAATCAATTATCCAAGGGGTTTTATGAGTACCTGAGACAGAAGCATGATGTGCAGTGGCATGAATACCTGAGTGAGCATATGCGGAAGAAGGAACAGTCTCTGAAGGAGCTGTAGCAGTGGACTACAAATGACTGATTATTCGGCATACTTCTCATACTCAGCCCTGGCGGCTACAAGCTATTCTCCCACTGACTTCTCTCCACCTTGTCCTTGTTCACCTTGTTTGGAGGTGGCTACATTTGCATTTCCACCTTTTCCAATTTCAAACCTTTTTCCACCATTTTCTTTCTTGAGTTTGGTAGGAATGAGCTCTAGTGCACCTTCCAATAGATAATATCTTTCTTCTCAGTGTTAACATTCGACTTCATCCCAGCCTTGGCATAGTGATCAACTTGCGGCTCGACAGATTGAACCTATTTTCTGCTCTCCTCACTTCTCACCATAGCATGTGCCTGAGACAAAGTCACCTCATCCTTTGCTGAAAACATTCTGCCTCACAGTATCATACTCTGAGTTGAGTTCGGTGAGGAACTCAAAGACCTGATTTCTCTCCACCAACTTCATATATGTTTCTGCATCCTTTGTGCAACCCCAAACAACAGTCTCCATCAGATCAATCTCTTACCAAAGAAATTTCAGCATAGAGAAGTAAACGGCTTAGGGCTTCTTCCTCTATCTTAGATTAGTCACATCATGTTTCAATTTGTAGGCCTGAGCAACATTAAGTTTTTGGAAATATGTCTCCGTAACACTATCCCACACTTCTTTTGCAGTTTCCATTCACAGGTAATGCTGACTAATGTGTGGTTGCATAGAATTCACTAACCAATCTACTACTGTGTAGTTTTCTTACATCCACCTTTTATAGGTAGGATCCTCCTCCGATTTCTTCTTGCTCCCAGTAATGTGACCCCATTTTCCTCTACTACACATGTATTTTAATAGATTGAGACTAGGCTAAATAATTGGTCCCATTCAACTTCACAGTAGTCACAACCCTAAAATGATTCTCCATTGATCCCCTATGTCCAAATCCGGAATCTATGGAATATTTGGTTTCTCCTCCAGTTTGCTCCATTGAGTGAGTGGATGCAAACGAAAATCAAATTAGGGATTTACTAGGCTAGATTTATTGTTCTAAGCAAAGAACAACCCTTCAACCTCCCAAAAATAGGGTTTCACAATACTTGGTAGGATGGAGAGAGAGAGAGAAACTTCAACAACTCCTACCAGAGGTTCCAGAACTTAGTCCAACCAAAACCACCCTTAAAAGAAATCAAAAGGCTTACCTTTGATCCCCAAGCACCTGGTTCAAATTGTCTCTACAACCTGTAACAAGACTTCTCCAGTTATCTAGGGTTTTCGGGAAAAATCTCCAAGAACCAGCTTTGGGCTTCAACTAAGGATGAAAACCTCCACAAAAACTCTCCAAAAACCCTCATAACTAGGTTGCATAAGTTGTTGATTGATCAACCGATTAGTTCTCCATACACACTGTGTATGGGCAAAGAAAAGAGAAAGAAGTCAAAAGTGAGACCCGCTCTGATACAAGTTGAGAAATACACCTGCAGTATTTTAGAAAATATAGGAAAAGAAAGAAAGAAAGGAAGAGAAAGGAGAAGAAAGAGGTTTCAGCAGTAGGTTGTGGAAGACGATAAGGGAAGAGAGAAAAGAAGAGTCGAACCTCTCTCTCTAGCCCCCTTGATCTCTTTTATTAACTTAATTCTAAAATTAAGTACAATTACTTGGATGCCCTTAATGGGGCGGCCAATACTAAAGAAATAATTAAAGAAAAAAAACCATTACTAAGGCCCATAACCAACAAACATAACCTTAGACACTACTTAAAAGAATTAAAAAACACCAAGACCCATTCGACCCATTCTCACTACAGAGTAAATAAGGTGTGTTGAACCTTGATGAAGTCTGATTGTAATTGTAAATTTAATGCCCACTCCCACTAGTGTTCTAGCATTGGTTGTTGCACCCTCACACACGTTCTTAGTAATTTAGAAGTTTCACTGGTAAGCAAAAGATGAAGCATTAATATGCAGGTTTTAACCTTGAGAAAGAAGAACATGAAGAGAGAAGGTTTGTAGCTAGGAAGAGAAGAGATAGACAATCTTTTGATGGGTTGGCAGGCTATTGCAGGATATTCCATTAGAAAACAGCAAAATAATGGTGTGGAGCTTCAGAAATAAAATCAGACACTTTAAATGGTATTCAAGAGACATGCAGCTTGAAATTCAATGGGTACAAAAATCGACCAATAGTTTGGCTAAACCGGGGTGGGGTGGGTAACAGCAACAATTATTTTGTGCTCAAACATACAAAAGTTTGTGGTGGGGTGAGATAGTAGTGGCTATGCTCACTTTATTTTCCTTGATTGTAAACACAACCTCTGGTTGTAATAATGAATTCATCTTCTTTGTTGCTGATCAAAAAAAAAAAAAAAAAAAAAAGAAGCCAGCAAATAATTGTGGAATAGAGGGCTCCTGAAGTAGAAGGAAATTAAACTTTGATGGTTGCAGCTCAGGCAACTTAGATGCATCAGGTATTACGGAAGTTGTCAGAAATGATATTTGATAGGTGCAACATGTTTAATTCTTGGGGATGGTGGGTTTTGGCAATTTATTGTCTGCTATGCCTTCTTATATTTGCTCTGTTGGTACCTCTCCTACCCCTAACTATTCTGTGCTAAGCAAACACCTGTGCTTTTCAAACATTTTGATTGGCAAGGATTTTTGCGTTAAATATGTAGTTTAATTCACTCTGCCTGATCAATTTTTTGCAATAATTGTGCATTTTCCTTTACATCTACTTGATACTTGATGTTTCCCTTGTCCTTATCTCTTTTGTAGTGGAAGAGAAGGAGAGCTTGGCCAAGATGAAGATTATTTTTTGGCTACTCCATATCACTTGGTAACCAATCAACTTCATATAGTGATGCAACTTTTCTTTATTAACACAATTTTGATGATGATCATACAGTGGGTGGGAAGGGAGGCGAATTCATTTGCTGATTGCTTAGCCAAACAAGGAGCATCTAGATCAGTTGTATTGGGCCCAATTGTAATTTTGTGCTGTTTCTTTTCTTTTAAAGGGTGAAGCTGCACCTCACGCCTCCCGCTGGGATGCTTGTAACAGTCCTTATTTTGCTGAGAATGAATTTTTAATGAAATTTTACTTATAAAAAAAAAACACAATTTTGATGATGATACCGAAAAGATATCTTGTAGTGATGCTCAAATTAAAATGATGTTGTGCCTGACAAGTTTGTAATGCTCACTTTCTTTTTTTTAATAACTAAAATTTTATTTTAGTTGTTACTTCCTATTGAAGAGAAGTGCTTCCTGTGGTATAGGTCCCTCCTTCAGGATCTCCAAAACTAAATTTTGACCAGTGTTCTCTTGGAAATCCAGGGAGATAGAATAGAGACATCTTATTAGGTTTACACTTAAGGTGGTGAGGAGAATTGAGAAAATCATTAGGGACTTCTTGTTGGATCTAGGGGAATAAGAGTAGTCATATGATGAAATTGGAAGAGCAATGAAAACCTAAAGAGATGGGAGGGTTAGAAATAGGAAGGATTCAAGAAAAAAATTGGCTTTGTTGGGGAAATGGTTGTGGAGGTTCCTAAAAGAAAGAGAGGCTTTATGGCATTTGGTGATCAAGAGCATCTATGGGTTGCACCCAAATGGATGGGATTCGGGGCCTACTAAGGCTGCAACTTTGAGGAGCCCTTGGAAATTGATTTTGATGTTATTGCCTACTTTCATGCAAAGCATAAGATACTTAGTGGGGGGATTCTCCCTTGTGCCAAGCCTTCCCTAAGATTTATAACTTGTCCAATTCTAAAAACAAACTAGTTTCTGAAATGGTAACCTTGGGAGGGAATGGCTTAATTTGGGACTTGGGTTTGAAAAAATTAGAAAACCATTAAGGGATAATGAAACAAATGAGCTGGTTTCTCTTGATGACTAAACTTGAAGTGAATGGAGTGGAGTTGGACTCTCAAGAGGAAATAGCCAATTGTTTTGTAGCCCACTTCAAATCTATCTTGAGGAAACCTCTAGCTAGTAGAGTGGAGTTGGTTGGTTTGGAATGGCCTACACTTTCTGAAGAAATTAAAAGTTGGTTGCAAAGGAATTTTGAGGAGGAAATCCGACAAGCAGTCTTTTCAATGGATAGATCTAAGGCACCAAGGCCAGATGGCTTTACTATGGCATTCTTTTAAGATTGTTGAGACATGATTAAAGGAGATTTGTTGGAGGTTTTTAAAGAATTCGAGGAATAGTCTGTCATTAGTCGTGGAGTTAATGCTACTTTCCTAGCCTTGGTTCCAAAGAAGAAAGAGGCCAAACATTCTAAAGATTTTAGACCAATTAGTTTGGTTACAAACATCTATAAAATTTTCTAAGGTCTTATCTTTGAGGATCAAAAATGAACTTCCCCCCCCCTCATTAGTCAAGCTCAGGGCTCCTTTGTTCATGGTAGGCAAATTGTTGATCAGATTTTAATAGCAAATGAAAGTGTGGAAGAGATGAGGAGATTGGGTAGGCAAGAATTTGTTTGCAAATTGGATCTTGGAAAGGCCTATAATTTAGTGGATTGGAGTTTTCTGTTAGAGGTGCTCAGGAAGTGTGGATTTGGGGATAGATGGTGCAAGTGGATAGGTGGCTGTTTTACATCTTTCCATTATTCAGTTCTAGTTAATGGGGTACCAAAGGACTTCTTCCTAGCACTTAGGGGCCTGAGACAAGGTGATCTACTGTCCCTTTCCTATTCACATTGGTTGCTGATGCGCTTAGTAGACTTTTGTCAGAAGTAGACAGAGCTGGATTAATAAGAGGATGGAGATAAGGAAGAAATCAAGTCCTGGTAACCCACCTTCAGTTTGCAGATGATATCATAATTTTTTTTGAGGGATGTGATTTGTTAGGGGTAAAGAATATGAGGAGTCTAATAATTCTCTTTAAGAATGCCTCAAACTTGAAAATAAATTTTGAGAAGAGCCATGTGGTGGGGTTAAATGTGGAGGGCAGGGAGTTAGAGTCTATTGCTGCCTGCTTAGAGTGTCCTCTTTCTGCTTGGCCCTTAACCTATCTAGGACTCCCCCTAGGTGCAAATCCAAAGAAAAGTAGGTTTTGGAACCCAGTGGTGGAAAAGTTTGAAAAAAAGCTGGTGGCATGGAAAAAGAACTATATCTCTTTGGGGGGCAGAATAACTTTGATTAGGGCCATTCTTGCTAACCTACCCATCTATTTTCTATTTGTTTTTAGGATACCTTCTAGGGAAGCCAAGAAGATAGAAAAAGTGATGAGGGACTTCTTGGGGGAGCTAAGTGAAGAAAAAAAGGACCATTTGATTAGGTGGGAGGTGGTGAGTCGAAGCAAGGAACAAGGGAGTTTAGGGTTAGGGAACCTAATTAATAAGAATGAAGCTCTTTTGGGCAAGTGGTTATGGAGGTGACCTTTGGAAAGGGAGAGACTATGGCACGAGGTGGTGGCTAGTATCCACATCTGTTCTGAATTTGGTTGGGATGCTGGGTATCTCGATGAGTTTCACTCACAACACCTTGGAAGGCAAGTTTTGACATCCTTCCAAAATTCCTCAAGTTTGTAAGGTATGATGTCTACACTGGTAATTATGTTATGTTTTGGGAAGATGTTTGGGTGGGCATCCAACCTCTAAAAGACCTCTTCCCCTTCCTCTTTTGTATTTCCCTCTATAAAAAGGAGTTTGTTTCTAGGTTTTTTTCTCCCCCCATTCTCCTGTTGTCTCTAGATTGGGAGTTTGGGTTTCGTAGAGGTTTGAGGGATGAGGAATCCGCTTCTGTCTTCGAGCTCCCACTTCTACTCAATTTTGTCTGTCTGGACCCTCTTAAACCAGATAGAAGAATTTTGCCTTTGACTTCGAGTGGCTCCTTTTCTTGTTCATCCTTCTTTAAGTTCCTTTGCTTTACTCCTTCCCCTTTGTTGTTCCCAATCAAAGAAATTTGGTCAAGGCCTATTCCACCTAAAATAGCCGGTTTTTGCTGGGAAGTTTATTATGGTAAAATTAATATTGTGGACAACTTGCAAAAGAAGAGACCTTATTTATGCTTGTCCCCTAACTGGTGTACTTTATGTTAAGTGTAGAATGAGGATTGTTATCAGTGTTTTAAAAGCGCAAGGTGCAAGGCAAGGCGTGCGCTTTTTTGGAGCAAGGTGCAAAATTATAAAAAAAATGCTAAAAAATGTCAGAAAATTCAAAAAGATGCCAAAAAATTCAAAAAAAATACTAAACATAATATTAATAAAAAAATATAAACTTAAATTATATAATAATGTTTTAAAAAACCTATTATCTAAAATTAAGGGTCCGTTTGGTTTGCTGGAATAGGGGTCTGGAATCGGAATCGGAATGGGCTATTCCGATTCCAACTGGTTGGGCGGAATCGGAATCCCATTCCCATTCTTACTGGAATGGCATTCCCCCATTTGAGGGAATGGTCATTCCCTGCCCCTCTCTTGGGAATGAAATCCCATTCCTGCTGATTTTAATTCCCATTCCCATTCCCATTCCTGTCTGAACCAAACAGACTATGGGAATGGACCATTCCGATTCCGATTCAGGAGGATTTTGATTCCGACTACAAACCAAACGGACCCTAAAATACATAAACATAAGATGTAATTATGTAAAGCATATTCAAATGAGAATTTAGAAATAAAATCAAACATATAAAACATTTTCAAGCATTTAAAGCCTCTAATCTCTTTTTTCACTCAATTTTATTACTTCATGTAGCTAATGAAATGAAAAACATATTACATTCCTGATTCTATGACCTAGGCGAGGCGCCTTTTCTGATACACCCAATTTGGTAATGTTGTTCATTCATTCATCCTAATAAAATGTCTTCTTAAAAAACAAGTAAAACTATAAAATCATTATTTTTTGTGTGAAAACTAAGAATTTAAGACCTAATATGGACTTGTTTGGGCTTGCCTCGAGGGGCGCGACATGGGGGTTCGGGGGCGGAGCCCCCGGCCCAGCTGCTATGTTCAGAAAAGGCAAAAAGGCGTCAAATTTTCAAAAGGCGCACGCCTGGGCTGAGGCGCAAGGCGCACCAGGCGCGCACCTTTTGAAAGGACTGCGCCTAGGACCTAGGCGAGGTGCATACCCTGAAATGCGCCTCGCCTGTGTGCCTAGGTGCACCTTTTAAATCACTGATTGTTATACCTACTGATCTCTTGCTCCTTTACTGAAGATTTTTGGAATTTGGTTTTTATGCTGTTTGGGTGCAGGTGGAACTTGCCATTTGAAGTAAATCTGCTTTTTGACCCGTCTACTTTTGGGTGGCCAACGAAGAGAGGGAAGTTAATGTGGAAATTTATTAGGGCAGCTCTCTTATGGAGCATTTGGGAGGAAAGAAATGCTAGAATATTCTAGGAGAGAAGGCATGCTGAAATAAAGAGTATATTGACAAGGGAAATCCTTTGGTTAAAAACTACTGATTTCTTTGTGGACTACTCTAGTGATGACCTTCAAAGGAGCTGGTCAGCAGTGGCTTCCACTTCATCCAAGAAAAAAAAAAACCAAAACACAAGCAAGGTGGTTACCCCCTCTGGAGGGGATTGTAAAGTTGAACTTTGATGGGAGCAGTCAAGGCAATCCAGGACCTTCGGGCATAGGAGGGATCCTGAGTTATATGGATAGTAACATTCTCTCCTTATTTTCAGTCTCTACAAGGGCTGAGTTACTAGCTGCGGTACAAGGACTACAGATTGCCAACCAAATTGGAGTGACTAATTTGATAGTAGAGGGAGACTCTAAGGTGGTAGTGGGATGGCTGTCGGACTTGGATACTGTTGTTTAGGGCTACAGGGATATCATCAAAAAAGTTAAATGGCTTACAAGAACTACGTCAATTAGAT